GCCTTAACGTTGACGTTCAAGTTATTACACCAATCGGTGACGTATGCAGATAAAGAGTGACAGGGGGCGGTGCTGTTTGGCTGAGTGGACATGCTTCCTGGGGCCCGGTGCTGATCAGCTGCTCTTTGAACCGGTGTGCTGAAACCTAAAACCGGAGCACCCTTGGGGACAAGACACACCATCCTAGGGTGTGAGCCCCGCCCCTCTGCCAAGGAGAACCTGTCCTGGTGAAAATCCGCCCCCATATAAACTGCCTGCAAAGCAATGTGAGATGAATCAGCGACTTAGAGGAAGTCAGAATTTGCATACAATGAGCGGGGGAGGGGTCCAACTAAGCAAAACACATCGTAGGGAGCTGGTTTCTCATAGACTGGTTCTCTTTGGTCCATTGCTGCAGCTCCCCAAAATGCTCTTCCTCCATTGCACCCCTCACCATACTGCCCACCCTCTAACTATAATGCCCATCCACCTAAAAATAATGCCCCTTTCTATTGCACACCCAACTATAATCCCCATTCCCCAACTACAGTCCACCTCCCCCACTGCACCCCTTCCTTCCCCATATGTTTCCCATTGACCAGTGCTGGTACAGGAAAGGGAGCAGCCATATTTGCCCCCAAGTTCCTCCCCTCCCACACACCTTACGATAATCGTACGATAATCGCGGGAAATCCTGCGATCGTACGATTATCGTAAGGTGTGTGGAAGCCGTGCGACCTCTATTACTGTAAGGTCGCACGACTTTAAACTTACGGACATGTTCGAAAACCCGCCGAGCATCGGACGATGTTCGGCGGGTTTGTGGCATGTCCGTACGATAACAGCCGGACGGGCCGGGGTGCGCAAGCGCACACTGCCCGTTCGGCATTGCGCTCATCGGAAGTCCGCCCCTCAGGGGGCGTGGCTTGCGATCATCGCAAGTACGATCTGCCTATGCAAGATAGGCAGATCGTACGTTTTTTTAAGTACCTTACAACCATCGCAAGACAAAAGTCTTGCGATGGTTGTAAGGTGTGTGCCCAGCCTAACACTCCCAACAATATCCGCCTCCTCTGATCAGTCCTGAATCTCAGGCTGTGAAAATGCAGCCGACGTGTTCCCGGGTTCCAGCCCCGCCCACTGCGGTTCTAAGGGGCTGCACAGGTTTAAATGCAATCCCATCTAGAAAGCGGATAATAAAACTTGGAGGAGGGGTGGCTCCCCCCTTGGGCAGTGCACATGCCACCTGATCCCCATGTGGTCACCCTCTTCTTAAAGGGGTACTCCACTTCCACCAAGCCGACACACACACAAGAAGGAGTAATGAAGCAAATACTTTTTATTTCCAGCAATGTCCGACACTTAAAGGGCCCCAACAAAAATACCGAACACTATGGGTGAGTGGAAGGCGGTCAGGAGGGGGGGCGGGACACCCAGAGCAAGGAGGTAAAACATGTAAAGATCCCTTTTTTTTTTACGTGTGACCATTAAAATCTGCAAATATGGTAAAAACGAGATTTATGTCCGTTACAAAAAAAACAAAAACAATTAAAAACCCCCAAAAAGTACAAAGATGCTACAATGGGCTACAACCGTCTCACAGCCCCGTGTGACCAAGCCGGCTGCACGGCGCAATCTGATTGGACAACCTCCTGAACAGCCAGGGAGTGCAGGGCCTGATTGGATAGGAATCGGATAGAGGCGGGCTCTACGATGAGATTGCGCAATCAGATGGTAAGGGGTGTGGCCACCTTTGGAAGATCCCACTGTAAAAGAAAAAAAAAAGGGGCGAGGTTTCTGCAGCTTGCCCCTCCCCCCCGACCGAGTAATACTGCACCGCAGGTGCAATGACGTCTCATTCACTGTAACAGCACGGCACCCTCGAAGGACGAGACCCCCACACATACAATAAATAAATAAAAGGAAAAAAAATATACATATCTGTTAATACTGACAACATAAAACCCCGTGACGCGGGCAGCTCAAAACGGGCGCAAACGTCCCGACCAGTTACAAAAAAAAATATTGAGAGGGGTCGCTGCGCTCAAAACAGACTTTTCACCTAGTCGTGGCGGTTTGAAACATTCACCGGCTTCTTATGCCCCTCCGGAAATCCAGCAGAGAGGTGTATCCCTTTAAGAGTCTATGGATGGGCGGAGCTAGGAAAACCAGAAGATCCCTTTTGCTGGAGTGCGCGGGAGGTATAAGAAGGCCCGTGGGTGCGCCACGCCCCCCCGAGCACAGCGACCCTACGGACACAGAGCCACGGCGCCGAATAACTACAAAACGACGCGGCTTTGGCAGTTGGCGACTTGCGGAGATAAACGCGGCAGCCATCTTTGGAAGATCGATCCTTGGCTCGAGCGCCTTTTCACATCTCTTCCCGTGAGCAGATTAAAAGGGCTATTCTGGCATGGGCGGAGCTATTTTTTTTTCCTCCAATGTGGACCACATAGGCTATATTACGCCCGCGGGCCTGTTTATTATTGTTTTCTGCAGCCTTGACCTGTCCCTAGTTAGCTTTGCCCCACCCAGCCCCCTAATCAAGTTCTGAATCTTCGCAAGCCGCTGCTAGCGTTGGAAGGTCCGAGACCAGTAATTAGTAGTCACAATGGCAGCTGTGTTTTTACTGCTTAGCAGCTGTCAATGTTCTCAGGGGGCGGATCTCAAATACCAAGGCTCCACCCACGAGGAGAAACATTAAAAGAAGTTGGGGTTCTTTTAGGATAAAAGCCTGAAAACAAAAATTCGAACCTTATAGAAATTTACAGAAGCCGCTGCCAAAGTTGGGAGGTCAGAGACCAGTAACTAGCAGACACAAGGAAAGCTCTTTTTTTACAGCTTAGCAGCTATCAATGTTCCCAGGGGGCGGATCTAAACAAATTCCATGAAGTGTCAGGCTTCACCCATGACCAGTAACTAGTAGACACAATTGTTTTTTTTACTGCATATCAACTATCAATGTTCCCAAGGGGCAGATCTGAAAAATCTATTAGGTATCAGGCCCCACCCATGAGGAGACACATTAAAGGAGGAGGCGTGGCACTTTTAGTATAAGTGATGGCATTAAAACCTGAATCTTAGGAGAAATTCTAACTTTATAGAAAATCTACTGCCAGTGGGGGGGAGGGGGGGTTGGGTCAGAGACCAGTAACTAGCAGACACAACAGAAGCTTTGTTTTCACTGGTTAGCAACTATCAATGTTCCCAGGGGGCGGATCTAAAAAAAATCCATGACACGCCCGGTCCCACCCATGACCAGTGACATGATATTGCAGACACAAGGAAAGCTGTGTTGTTATTGCTTCGCAGCTGTCAATGTTCCCAGGGCCTGGAGCTCATAATTAATAAAATATCAGGCCACGCCCACGAGGAGAAACATGTAAGAAGGTGGGCACTTTTAGCATAAGTGATGGCATGAGAACCTGAACCTTAAGGGAATCTATAACCGGTCATGTGATAATTATGTAGGCTGCCACGCTCCTTCTGAAAAGGCCATCTGCCTGGCAGAGGCTCCAGATTGGAGTCAGGGGCCTGGAAGCGAATACTGAAATCATTCTGTCCTGATTTTTGCTTGCTGCATGCTTCTTCCCAGTCAGAGAAGCATTAGGTCACACACACACCGCCAGAAGACCCCCTTTAATCAGTGCTCACTGATCCCGACCAGTCGCCTTGGCCTCTTAATACTGACAAAAAAATAGAATTCCTTTGGCATCTTGCCCCGCCCCTGCGGAACGCTTTGGGGTTCTCGGCACTGACGTGAACCCTAAAGCCCCGCCCTCACAGTTTTTAAATGCAGCATTGAAATGTAATGACTGGAAAGAGAATTGTGGTTGGA